GCATAGCTGCTATTCAGGCACAGCTAGTATATAGTATTGTTTTGAATTTTTTTTTCAATATTAGCTAGATGTGTTCGTGTAGGCAGGCTAGCATTTAACTTGCTACATATGTACGTAAGAGATATTGTTTTTTTCACGATGTATACCATGTTATATACAATATCAAATAAAGAAATGATGCTTATCTATGAGGGGAAACCCCCTCAAAATAATAATAATAATAATAATAATAATAATAAATAAAATAAAATTAATTAATAATTATAAAAATTTAATATTTTTTTATTTTAAAAAACTGTACATTTTATTAAATAAAACTTTAAATATTAAGTTAAAATATATAAAAGTTTATATTTAAATACTTTAACATATGCTAAGCAAAATTATTAATATCAAATTGCTTATTAAAACAATAATTACAAAAATTATATAGATGTTAAAATTTTAACAAAAAAATTAAAAAATTATTATTTAGAAAAAAATCATTAAATGTAATAATAAATATTTGTTTCAATTTAATAAAAATTAAACATATATGAAGTTCATTATGAGAAATATGTTTTTGTTAATAAAATAAAAAGTTTAATATATGACAACTATTTTCATTTAATTATAATAATTTTTAAGTGGTTCTTTATTTATTGAATGAGACTGTATATTATATATATACGGTATAGAACAAAAAAACTTGTTTTTTTTATTGTTTTTATATTTTTTATCATATTTTAATTACTAAATAGTAAAATAAAATAAAATTTTATATTTATATATTTGAAAATATAAAGAATAAGTTTACTTAAAATGAATTTTAAATTTTGTTATTAATTTATTATAAATTTTCAAAAAGTTATTTTAAATTTATTATAAAAAATATTTAATAAAAAATTGCTAAATTAATTTTAACATAAATTTGTTAATTAAAAACTAATTAAATATAAAACTGATTTTTATAAATTTTTTATAAATTGAAAAATTTTTATTATTAAGTAATATATTTTAAAATTTAATAAAATTTATATTAAAACTATAGTAAGACTAGTTTTTTAAAAATTTATAAAATTAATATATATATAATTTTAATAAAACAATTTAAATATAATAAAATAATTCTTTAAATTTTTTTATAAATCAAATAATTTTTTTTGAATTTTATAATCTATTTTTTTAAAAAATTATTATAGTATTTTCCATCTGTAGATTATATATAAATATAGTCAAAAATTATTTAAAGAAAAAATTTCTAACTTTTAATCAATAAATTAAACTAAAATTATTAATTAATTACTAAAAAACTTTGATATTATATTATTTAGATTTTAAAAAAACTATACTTAAAGTTTTATATTAATTGAACTATTATTTATTAAATTATAATAATAACAAAAAACACAATTTTTTTTGTCACATACTGTATATAACACCATTTCAATAAACCTGGAATCCAGAATACTGGTAAACACGAGTTTTTTAAGAAATAAAATATAAAATTTTTTAATAAATAATTATTATATTTGTTTATTTAATTGTTTATATTTTTTTTGTAGTATATTTACCAATTCAATAATATATTTTACAAGTTAATAAATTTTTTATAATTATCGGTTATAATTTAATTTATTGGTTATTGTATGTGCTTTATTATGATTGAATTTTATTAATAAAACTTATTTATGTACATCTGGTTACAAAATTAACATATGTTGCACGAGTGACACGTGTGCGCAAAGTGAGCTGAGGAAAGCAGCCAGCCCATCACTTTTTTTTTCGTAATAAATCTCTATTCACACGTCGATTTCGGAGATTACGGATATTTCTAAACACTACTGTATCTGTCTATAATTTCTAAAAACAACATTGGAAAAAGTTAACGAATTTTATACTGTATTGGCAGTTTAAGAAACATAATGGCACAATTAGAACGAATTATCCGTCAACATCACGAAAATAAAAAAATAGAAATTCTGGGTTCGATTGAAAAAGTCATTCATTTAGAAGATAATGAAAATTATGCTTTTATCATTAATGAATATTGCAAAAGTCTTGGATCGTTCAGTTTGGGTTTTTATGTTCCTTATGGTTTGCGTCTAATTGGTTATGATCCTCAAAAAGATAAAGTAAATATAATTAAAAAATTCCCCGATAATTCCCCTTCAACAGGATATCGTAGTTTAGAAGATGCTGTACAAGAGGCCGAAAACTTTATCGAAGTTATTGGAATGACAAAAAAATTAGACTTACTTGGTTTACAAGCTGATAGAGATATCGATATTATTTCTTTTAAACAAGAATTAAACAGCAAAGTAAAAGATGTTAATCTTTTAGTTAATGAAAATAAACGTCTAGTTGTAGAATTAGTAGAATCTAAGCAAAAAATAATAGATTTAGAAAAAAAATTAGTTGAATACGAAGCAAAGTTGGCTGCGAGTAGTTACCAGAGTAACGAACAAAGTTAACGAGTAGAGAATAATATTATACTTTTATAACTTTTGAGGTAAATTTTCTTTCATATATATTTAAAATTTTAATTTGTTTGTAATCTTATCTCTTGAATATTTTCAACTTTAATAAATTTAAGTTCTTATCTTATTAACTTGATTGATTTTTCTGTGATTAGGTATATCACTTATTTTTTTATATCCGTTATTTAGTGCTTGGCGACTAGAATATATCTTAATATTTTTTAAATTCGAATCCTTTATGCCTAACTGATATTATCATTCTCGTAAGAATCAGTTTCGAATCAGTAGTTGTGTAATGAGATTTATTTTGTTTCTGAATACTGTAATTTATTTCCCAATATTTCTTGATTATAGCAGGAACCTGACATTAGATATATAATCTGAAAATAATAAATTATGGAATTTCCACAAAGAATACATTTTCTTTATTGCCATATATTGTAGATCTCATAATATATCAGAGGATGATATTTATGAAATATTGGAGATTTTTTGGTTTACATATGAAGTGTCGTTGGCGAAAATTGGCGCTGTAACATGCTGTGTCTCTTGTGTGATGAATGTAGTTTTGGGTAACAGTGGAATGATTAAGTTAGAAATCAGAATATAATGGCGAATGCAAACATAAAGCGCAAGTTATTAGCATATAAACAATCCAGTATGCATAAGTATAAATGTGGCACGTAGAAAAAGTGAGCGAATGCCAGTATTTAGCTTAATAAAAAACTGTTTAAAATGTAAACTACCCATTTTTTTTCGATTGCGTTCACCTGAAACTTGTTCATGTAACCAAAGGAGAGCTGTTATTGTCCAATGTTGTCGTCGGCGTTGAGTCTGTCGCTAACGTGGTTAACTCTTTACGTGACTATAATCTAAAGCTTGGATTATACTGCATAACAAATATAAATCTTTAAACTCTGCGATTTGTTAATATTTGTTACTTTTTTCTAGGAGATTCTAGATCCCAACTTGACCATTTCCCTCTCAATAACGTCCCTTCAATATTAAAGGTGTTTCACACATGAAAAAAACAACTATCGTTTTATTCAAAAGAAATTAAATGTAATTGCAGGTTTCTCAATTATACGAGTGTTAAAAATTTTTCCTTATTCTTTATTTATATTTTAGACTTATAAAACTTTTTATAAAATTTTTGATTGGAATATTTAATTAAATTTAAATTTACAGACTTTAATATTTTGAACTTAATAAATGAATTTATTATTATTTTAAAATACAGTGTGGGTCAAAAATAATTGGACAACATATCAATTTTTATTTTTGTAATACTTCAATAACTAATTGATAAAATAAGATAAACATTTATATTAATATAATTAAGAATATAAAAAACAAGTTTACTTAATAAAATTTTTAAAATACAATATATTATTAAAATTTTCTTAAAATTTAATTTTTAAAAAAAATTTTTTTAAAAATAATTAATTTTAGTTACATTACAAAATAGAAATAATAAAAATTATTAAAATTATTTCAATGCATGAATTTGTTAAATAAAAGTCATACTAATAATAATATGATTATTATTATTTTTTTATAAAGTATAAAAAACTATTTAATAATTAACTTAACTTAAAATTTAGTTGAATTTTACTAAAAAAACATAAATTTTATATTAAACATAAAGTTTTTAAAGATTTTAAAGATTTTTAAAAATAATTTTATATAATAAAAGAAGAAACCAATTTTAATAACATTTATTAAATATAATAATGAATCTTTTATAATTTTTTTATAAGCTTAAAATTTTTATTCATTTTTATATTTAATTTTTTTAAAAATTTCTCTATAGTAAAATTTTAATTTCCATCCATATTATATATATATATTTACATATAAAATTTATAATGTATTTTAAAAAAAATTTTTTTGACTTTAAATCAATATTTTTAAATAAATTTATTAATTAAGTTCTAAAATATATATATTTAAAGTTTTATCTTAATTAAATTATTATTTTTTGAATTATAATAAAAAAAAACAGTCCAATTATTTTTGACCCACACTGTATAACAAATTAATTTATTAAAAATTTTTTTTGGGATATAATTTCTTGCAAAAAAAGAAAATTTTCAGTTTTATTATCAGCATTGTATATATATAATGATGGTTTTTTAAACCTATTTTATTTTGACAATACAAAAAAAAATTATATAAAGTTATATTATGAATCAAAAAAATCAACATAACTATTATTTTTTAAATATTATAATATAAACATCTTGCTAAAATTAAAGAAAAAATAAAATATATATTTAGGAATATTTATACAGTTACAGTTAATCTTTGAAAATTTTCTTTTTAAAATTATTCTTCAAGAAGTACTTTTCTCTTTTGACTTTTTTAAGACTAAGGCTCTAAACTGATATTGAAATAGTACAAAAATAATACTGAAATATAATAAATTTAATATATAATTTGTAATTCACTATATTAAACTTATAGTAAATTTCATATTAATTTGATACCAAAATGGTATTGTTAAGCCCCTATCTATGATAAATAAACTTTAAACTTAAGAACATAAAAATTTTAAAGATAAATATTACAATAGAATAGATCTTTTAGTCAAGATCTAAGTAAGTTAAAAGTTTTGATTCTTGATTATATAAAGAAAAATTTATAGTTTCTTTTATAAATTTTTTATATAATCATTACAATTATTTTCCTCTTCTTTATATTACAATCATATCTCTAATTGTATATTCAAACAAAATTACTGGTTCAAATTTTGTTTTGATATAATCTTAATAAAATTTTCTTATTAAAGACAATATTACATCTTACTTCCTTTATTCTTTTATATTTTTTTAATTAATTCAAAAAATCATACTCAACTTAATCTTATCAAAAAGTTTATATTGTTAGTATAAAAATTGTAATAGAGGGTCAAAACACAACATGTAAGTCTGATGTGATTAGTGATCTTAGTTAAAGATTTTTCCAATCAATTAGTTTGTTTTAAATATAATCAATTAGTTGTAACTAAAAATTCTAAATTCAGATTAGTTGATTTTGAACTTTTTAATTAATAATTTATAACATACTGTATATCCAGAATAGAAAAATAACAATGAATTAATTAATAAATTCTTAAAAAGTATTCATTGTAAACTGACTATTTTGTACTAGTGCAATAATAATTAATATGCTTATCCTATTTCTATAGTTACCTTAAAGGATCCAAGATAGGCCTGGAAAGCTTAAAGACATCAGATTCAAAGAGGATACAAGAGAAGACAAGGAGAAGTTGAGATAATTATCATCACAAGTACCTTTAGTATTGCAAGTGATAAAAATTCACTTATATTATGTAACACAAGTCTTGGTTCAGACTAGTGACAGACTCACAATAGAGAATAACAATTTATAATTAACAACCAATCAAAATCTTTCTTTTTTTTAATTTCAAAATCAAATACATGCGAACCTGTTGTAATCAGTTTTCATAACAAAAAATACTCATACTACAATAATAATAATAATAATTATTATTATTATTACCAAATTAATATATATATATGATCTATGCCTTGCTCAAGTTCTAGTAATCCTTCTATGGATATATATAACAAGCACCTGCTAATCCTTTGTTGACCGTCTTTCTATGTGCGTCTCAATCTTACAAGTGTGACTTCACAGAGCAAAGACAACGTCGTGTCTCCTTCAAAGTCTCTCTCTTTTTTACTTATGTGACATTAATCTAAGATTATAATTTATGGGACATAAATTTTATTATTCAAAGTAGGATAACATTTACTTACTAAAAACGAGGAAAACAAAAGAAGATTCTAAAAAACTAGATGTTTACAGATTACGTAAAGCTATATTATAAATGCCTGTTGACGTGTCCACCCAGCTACAGCTATGACTAATTTATTATATCATTCTGCAATTGTCGCGTTCACCTCTCGATTATTCTCACAAAAGTAGGGAATTAATAGTATGGTATGCATTATGCTTGTAGTCTCTCTTTTGTACTAATTTTCTAAATACTTGTTGTACAAAGATGTAAAAAAAAATCAATTAAAAGTAAAAATAGAATAAAAAATAGAGATCGGTAATATCCTAAATTAGAATACAGTATTTTACACACCTGGTTAGCCATTTAACTTGTCACAACATGCTTGTATGAATTATTCTTCAAGATTCAATAATTAAAACGTAATAAATTTATTGTTAATAAGCGACTCAATTAATACTGTAATAGTCAGAGACATAATAATGAGTGATAAAGGTACAGTAGCTATTAATCCCAACCCACACTCTTAGTATATGAATCAACTTTTTTTTTAGCATTTTCAAAATCTACATTCGCCTTGTTTTCTAATTCTTTTACAATACGCTTATTAACAAACAAGATTCTTAAAACAGGGGTCCCGCCAAGCTTTGTTTTATACACGTTTGCAGAAGGATGCTCATCAGTAACGGTAATTTTACCTTCACTCATCCATGCAATAGTGTATTGTCCATCGTCATGTATATCATTAGCAGACAAATCCACATCATCACTCTGCGTTCTTCCAACAGGTGGCCAATCTGGAAATCTGTTATAATGAGCCTTCCATATTTGATGCGCCAGACTTTTTCTAGCTTTCTCTAATCTTGTATCATCGTTAACTTGCTCAAGGAATTTATGTATAGAGTCTTTGTATTCACTCCATGTTTTAAAGTTATTATTTCCGTCTTGAGTAACTTTAAAAGTGGTAACTGCTTTACGTGCTGATACTGCTCCATCTATATCATGAAGTGCTTTTGTCAAACCTTCACCATTATACTTAATTAATTTAACGATGTTTGGATAATTTGATTCGATTAAAGATTGAATTTTTGAAGAAAAAATGACAATTTCCAATTCCTCTTTCATTCTTGTTACGTTTTTTTTTTTTAAAAAAAAATATTTTTTACTACATACTTAAACAGGTTTCGATTGGTATTTATCCAATTTTTTGTGCACTTTATCCATTTTACAACTCAGACAAATTTAAGTCTAATAAAATTTTCGTACAAAACGATAGGTTTATTTGGTCGATACGATAGATTTAATAAATCATTATCAATATCAATCAACTGTTTTTTTTTTTGTTCGTTGATCTGTTGATTTAATTTTGTTTAATTTGTCGGATTGTCATTTTTTTGAGAGAAAAGAAGATTGTAAACTACCCGAGTTTCTATAATTAAGCAAAGTTTATTTAATAAAAGCTTGTGATTATAACTCGAGAAAGAAAATTCGGATTTACAGTAAAAAAAAGTGATAAATTCTTTCGTATAATAAAAACTCGCTATCTAAAAACTACAAATCTTTGCATAACGTTACTTATACTTTTTATTTATCATGGTCTGCATACTTTGTATAAAAATATTCGCCTTTTATTTTATGCGGGGGTTTTTTTTGACCGTACTCAATTTAATTAATAGTGCGGGATTAGTGATATGATGTAACCAGATTTGCCTAGTCATGAATAAAGGTTCTATTCGGCTGACTAGGTTAAATAATTAATGTATAATTTGTATTAATTTTTGGTTGTATCATTAAATTTTTTAATTTATAATTTGGAGTGTTGTTTTTTTTATTATTTATATTGATTTACGATCTTTTTGGACTTTTATAATTTTTATTTTAATTATGATTTCATAAATAATTGACAAAATGAAACATATATTCAAATTATTCTAAACAATAGATTTAAAAATAAATTATTATTTTTGTCAATTGTAAACTATTAAAATATCTTGTTAAAGAAATTTATTAAATGATTACTTACCAATTAAATTATTTATTGTAATGGGAAAACAATCTTGTTGTTTGCTCTCAAATACTATTGCAGAATGAGATATAATAATTAAGTAAATCTACTTTGTATTATTTGATTGTATAATTTGAAAATATACTTTTTTTTTAATATACAAGGTGTTGCAAAAAAAATGGAATTATATTATTATTTGTAACTTAATAAAAATTATTTAAAAAAATATATATTTAAATATATTTAAATCAACATCTATAGAATAATTTTATTTAGAACTACTTTATTAATTAATTTATAATTTAATTTGATAATTTAATTTTTTATGAAAATTATATATTGTATTTTTTAGTTTCTATTTAATTTCTGTTTAAAAAAAAACAAGATAATAAATTAAATGATTTTTTTTAAAAAAATATTAATATTAATATAATAAATTTTTAATTAAAAATTCTAATAAATCTATATCTTTTAAATATTTAATAGTTATAAAAATTTCAATTATAAAAAATTATTTGACATTTTTTTTGCAACACCCCGTAAATATAATAAACTTATTTAATATTTGTTTATAAATTATAAAATTATAGTTACAAAATTATAAAATATAAAATATAAAATTATTTATTATACAAATAATTAAAAACTTAAATAAATAAACTTTAAATATTAAAAACTCTTTCCCGTCCATCACCACATTTCCTAATTAGAAAATTTTCTTCAAAAAGAAAAACTCACCAAGTTCTCTTCTCAAAAACACCTCAAACACCAAGAAACAATATCACTGTCAGGTATAACAAACTAAAAACACATTATTCAACACTAACTTATCAATTTATAGATCATAAAGCAAGCAATTTCAGCT